AAAAGTAAAACCATACATTTATTTTGAATTAAATTGAGGAAATGTGAATTTCTTTTTTTTTTGAAGTTTTTTTGGCAAGGATTTATTTCTTTTTAAAATGGTGACTGTGAAGATTATACTTAATTTCATATATTCTTGTGTTTGAGACAGAGTCTCACTCTGTGAGTGCTGTGGCATCAGCCTAGCTCACAGCAACCTCAGACTCCTGGGCTCAAGTGATCTTCCTGCCTCAGCCTCCCGAGTAGCTGGGACTACAGGCATGGGCCACCATGCCCGGCTAATTTTTTTCCTATATATTTTTAGTTGTCCGATTAATTTCTTTCTAATTTTAGTAGAGATGGGGTCTCGCTCTTGCTCAGGCCGGTCTCAGAACTCCTGAGCTCAGTCCGCCCGCCTCGGCCTCCCAGAGTGCTAGGATTACAGGCGTGAGCCACCACGCCCGGCACAAATTTTAAAGAAAGAAACAAAAAGACCACAAATATGAATCCCCTTTACAAAATACTCAAGTAATCCTTTTGTTTCTCCCTTACACCTACCTCTCTGATAAGAGAAGAGCTCATTGTCTGACTAGGTGGCTTATTCCAGTTTTAGGCTGCTCATAAGTTTTCTTACATTCCTCTTGCTAAATTTAACTGGTCTTTAGGAACCATTCATGTCCTATTGCTTCCATCTTCATGACAGTTTCTATTGTTCTCATCATAGCTTTGATTCCTAATCTTATCAATATACCTTGGAATCACATTGTCCTTTTTAGTAGACATATCATCCCATTAGGACAGTGAAAGTGTAACATAACATTAGGAGGAGTACAAGTTAGTTTGCCGAGTTGGAGTTGCACCTTCACAAATTAGCTGTGGTTTTGAGCACATTACATTGCTGGGCCCCCACTATCTTCTATAAAGTGAGGATAACTATAGTTTGTACCTCATAGATGTTAGGGAAAAATCAAGTTAAGTAATCATAATAAACCATTGAAAATTTAGTGACTTAAAACAATGATTTATTCTTTCTTGCGGGTCTGTGGCTTGGCTGGACTCTTACTGGACAGTATTCACATGGTATTGGCTAGGGTTACTCATTGCTGTGTTCAGCTGGGCTCAAAATACACAAGATGGCTTAATTTACAATGTCCGATGGGTGGGACTGCCTTGGCCTTCCTCTTCAGCAGGATAGTTTGGCTTCCTACACACTGCCTCAATGCTCCAAGAAAGCAAAAGGGGAAGCCTGAGTGCTTTTAAGGGTTTAGGCAGAGAACTGGAATAAGTAGTCACTTCTGCTGGTCAGAGCAAGTCAACAAAGCTAGCCTGGACTCCAGCAGAAAGGAAATAAATTTTACCTCTTGACAGAAGGCAGAATGGCATATAAGAATAGGAATGACAGAGAATTGGTGTAGGCCATCTTTGGAGAAAGTTTCCCACAGTTCTTTCACAGTTAGCTTTTTGAGCCAATGTGTTAGCCCCTTTAAATTTAATCTTTAATCCAGTCTATTTATTTATGCCTTTGTCAACTTATTTTGGTCAGCATTTCACCAGAAACATTTGCTATTCATTGTTTGTACATTTTGATCTATCATAGCCAATAAGCAGGCTGACTGCTGTTAGCTAGCCAACCTGTTACTTGTGGGTCCTGGTTAATGGCTTTAAAGTTGTTACATGGTTAATTCGGTGTTCACCTTGGGGGAAGAGGTACTTAACTGCTATTTTAATTCCCACACAACTTAGCATGAGTTACCCCAGTGTAAAATAAAACATTTTTAGGGATATAGAAGTTACCACTTATAAAAAGATGCATTACTAATTCTAGTAGCATTTATTAACACCTTGCCTTAAAAACTTAAATAGATTTTCTGGAGGCAGCTTTAAAACTTTATATCTGAAGTGATTGGTTCACTCTTAAGTAACTGCATATGTTTATGTGCAGTTGATGGGTTAAATAGTCATTGAACAGTGAAGGGCATGATTAGGCAGTGTTATTCTTAGTTTCACTTTTCTTCTCTGCTGGACCACTAATCCGCAAACTTAGACACTTGCTCCACAAACTTTAGAGATCTTGTTCATTATTTTCTCAGTGCCTAGCACAGTGGCATTTAAGTATTTGGGGAATAAGTAAACGTAAAAAATGTCTTGAAGCTGTAAAGTATATGAAATAGGGATACCTAGGTGGTGAAATAATTTCATGGCAATGCTCAGTTATTGTTGATTCTTTATTTGAAATTATTCTTAATATAGTCAAATGTTACGTAAATAAGCTAGAGAGCAGTTCACAGTTGACTTGTATATGGAGGCTTCTTAAAATTTATATTTTTCTTCTACTTAATTTGAAGTTATTCGTGAATTCTGATTAATCACATTACGCCTTTTTTTCAGTTGACTTTATAGCTCATTTGGTCTTAACCTTTTGCCTAGCCAATTAGAAACAAAATTTACCCTTCCCCACTAAAAGTATTTACATAGAGATTTCTTAGTTTTTTCCATAGCATCTTTTAATACTTATTACAAAGTGTATTATAATGGAAGGAATTAGAGTTCCACTTGTTTCTATAGCTATATTGTGTTTCCAGCTTCTAGCATGTTGTCTGGTGTATAGTGATAATAATATCAAGTAAACATTTAACTGAGTGCCTGTCCTAAGTGATGTACCTGTATTTTCTCTCAAAACCCATAGAGGTCCTTATCTTACAGATGAGAAACAACCGAACCATTGAGATTAAGTAGGTCACACAGTGTGGAGTGCCTCAGTTTAAACCCAGACTCAACCCAAAGCCACTATGCATGTACCATCTCCTATAATTGAATGAATAACACATTTTGTATAAAAATGTAAGACTTGAAAAAGCGCAGTCATTTGTTTCTTAAGACCATTGCTTTGGCTGGGCGCAGTAGCTCATGCCTGTAATTCCAGCACTTGGGAAGGATCACTTGAGGCCAGGAGTTCAAAACTAGCCTGGGCAACATAGCAAAACTCTGTCCCTACAAAAAAATTAAAAATAAATTAGCCAGGCATGGTGGTGCACGCCTGTAGTCCCAGCCACTCGGAAGACTGAAGTGGGAAGATCACTTGAGCCCAGAAGAGCAAGACTGTAGTGAGCTGTGATTGCACTACTGCACTCCAGCCTATGTGACAGAGGGACACTCTACCTCTAAACAACAACAACAACAAAATATTGTTTTAAGTGAAAAGACCACTTAACTATTTTCAACACAACTATCTTCTGCTGTTTGAGGCAGATCCCCTAAGAGCAACCATAGGTGGTACAGAGCATGGTGTTCAAAGGACAAAATATGATGGTATAGGTGTGGTATAATAAAGAGTTTGCTATCCTAACCAAAATGCTCTTTTGATTTCAAGCCAGTAGTTTCATATATTGATTAATAATCATAGGATCTCAATCAATGGAGGTTTAAACTATTATAATAAATTAACAAAAGAGAAAAAAAATTAATCGTAGGAGACATCATTTCAGGTTGACTTTTCTTACCCCCAACCCCTTCTTACAACACTGTGAAACTTGGCCCTACTGCTACTTCATCGGGGTATCTATCTATAGCTTGAGTTGTAAAAAGGAAAGAGAAGCTGTTCACCTCCCCACCAGTTACTATTTTTAAAAAATTTTCAAATTACATTTTGCATATGAGTGGGTGCTATATAGATTAAACTACTGGGTAGCTGCTTCTAGAGTAGAAAATAAGAATTTGATACATTTGCCTAATCCTACTGAAATTATCTTTTTCCCCTTAACTGAAAAGAAAAAAATCACCAATTTATTGAGCCTTCTTCCCCCAGTATAATGATCTAATTTTTTTCTTTAAATTGATCATAGAGTAGAATTGTTAGCATATTAGTATTTAAATTAGTTGAAATTGTTGCAGTTTTAAACAATTTTTTTTTTTTTTTTTTGAGACAGAGTCTTGCTCTGTCACCTTGGGTAGTGTGCAGTGGTGTCATCATAGCTCACTGCAACCTCAAACTCCTGGGCTCAAGTGATCCTCCTGCTTCAACGTCCTGAGTAGCTGGGACTACAGGCATGCGCCACAATGCCCAATTCGTTTTTCTGTTTTTAGTAGAGACAGGGTCTTGCTCAGGCTGGTCTTGAACTCCTGAGCTCAGGCAATCCTCCTGCCTTGGCCTCCCAGAGTGCTAGAATTACAGGCATGAGCCACCGTGCCTGGCCTTAAAATTTTATAGGATGGTGTTTTTAATTTTACCTGTGGTCTGTGATGGTCTGTTAACATGTTTTAGCTAAAACTCACTTTAATGAGATTAAAGTCTATTCTTTTGCTCTGAACAGTTTTTCATGTGTTGTGAAGTTTGTTTGAATTGTGTTCTTTTAAAGGAAGTTAATTTTGTTCTGCCTCCTCTGGCTCGGACTCTGTGGTAGTGTCTGTTACATTATCGGTTTCTGCTTTAGTCATTCCTCCAGAGTCAAAAAGGTTCATCTCTTATGGTCTTTCTATACTCATGTCTTTGACTACATTAAGATGCAGTTTCCCAGCACATTCGAAAATGTTCCTAAATAATAAACTATCATATTTGTACTGTCATTCATTGAAGTCGGCATGTAAATAGATAGTTGTCAGAGACTGATATTTAAGTATCATCCTTGAATAATAAACGGAACACTAACTTTAAATTTTAAGTATTGGAGTATGCCCAAAGAATTCTGCTTTTATTTTTTTAATTTTTATTTATTTTTATTTATTTTTTCGTAGAGACGGGATCTCACTCTTGCTCAGGCTGGTCTCGAACTCCTGAGCTCAAGCAATCCTCCCGCCTCGGCCTCCCAGAGTGCTAGGATTACAGGTGTGAGCCACCTCGCCTAGCCAAAATTCTGCTTTTAAACGACAAGTTCATGAGCTTCCTACATTCACAGTTGTATTATTGACAGTGGCTAGGTGTTAAAATTTTATAACTTAGGCTTTAGTATGCTCTTTAAGAAATGCAAGCTCTTTCAGCTTTGTAAATGTTTTATTCTTATTATATATGTTTTCTATTTTCCTAAGTCTCTTTTGGAAAAGTTCTTGATCCCCAATGCTTCACAAGCAGAGAGCAAAGTCTTCTATTTGAAAATGAAGGGAGACTACTACCGTTACTTGGCTGAGGTTGCTGCTGGTGATGACAAGAAAGGTATGCTGTTTTATAAGCCTGTTGGTTAAACTCGTATAAAATAACAGTGTGAAAGAGTCTTCTTTCTGAAGTGTAGATATTTTTTTGGTTGTTCTTTAATTGCTTAGAGCACTGAATAGGGAGTGGCGATGCCTTTTTTTTTTTGAGCTCAAAGACTATGTATCTACTCCCTAATATTGGTATTCTAAAATGTATGTTTCTAAAAAGCCTATTTTGTGTATGGGGCAGTGATGTTTTCTCACAGTGTACCTGAGGAGTGAGCAGTGCAAACTAATCAATAAAAATATGACAATGATAAGATTATGAAGTTGTTTTTATCTTGATGTTAACTGATGGCTAGTGTGATGTTCCAAGTTAAGCCTCTTTTTTTTTTTAACCTTTTTAAAAGGTTTGGTTTGAGGGGTGAAGATGAGCTGCATGCTTTATCAATACATATTCATGTGTCTTATACAGGGATTGTGGATCAGTCACAACAAGCATACCAAGAAGCTTTTGAAATCAGCAAAAAGGAAATGCAACCAACACATCCTATCAGATTGGGTCTGGCCCTTAACTTCTCTGTGTTCTATTACGAGATTCTGAACTCCCCAGAGAAAGCCTGCTCTCTTGCAAAAACAGTATGTATTTTACCTCTTACGTGGATATTTAGTAATCTTTCTTATCTGAGCACTGAAATCTACTCTTTTTTAAAATCATAGGCTTTTGATGAAGCCATTGCTGAACTTGATACATTAAGTGAAGAGTCATACAAAGACAGCACGCTAATAATGCAATTGCTGAGAGACAACTTGACAGTAAGTACATAACACAGCATTAAGGATTAATGTGGCTGAAGAGATTATGTTGTTTTACAAGGAATATTTATGATCTTTTTTATTAAATATGATAGCCACAGTTAAAAACCACATAAAGAAAACTACCTTACAGAAACTGAAATACTAAAGAACTAAAGAACTAAAAATGTACATTTTCATTAGTGACATGCTTATTATTAAAATTTTAATTTTCAGTTTTTGCAATCCATGTTTTCCATTTCAAATCTTGAGTGTTTTCATTTTAGTCACATGAGAGTTTAGTTTTTAGTTTCAAAAGTATACTGAGGGCTGGGCGCGGTGGCTCACGCCTGTAATCCTAGCACTCTGGGAGGCCGAGGCAGGTGGATCACTCAAGGTCAGGAGTTCGAGACCAGCCTGAGCAAGCGCGAGACCCCATCTCTACTAAAAAATGGAAAGAAATGATCTGGACAACTAAAAATATATATATATAAATTAGCCGGGCGTAGTCCCAGCTACTCGGGAGGCTGAGGCAGAAGGATCGCTTGAACCTAGGAGTTTGAGGTTGCTGTGTGCTGGGCTGATGCCACGGCACTCTAGCCCGGGCAACAGAGCCAGACTCTGTCTCCAAAAAAAAAAAATAAAAATGTATACTGAGGCTATCCATCTTTAAATTCTTTTAAAATGGTTTTCTTGCCCATCAGGTTGTCTCCATGTTTGTATAGCTAGCGTAGGGCATTGATAACTTCAGATAAAAATTTTCACATGCCTATAGAATCTGAATGGGAATCTCTTTTGCCTAGTTTCTAATATAAAAAAAAAATAAACAGTAGTTCCTTAATATTAAGTATCTAAATAATGTTCAAATTCCGCTTGTTTTGTCTTTTTTAAATTGTTTCTTTTTTATGAAAACTTAATTGAGATCCAGATAAAGTTTATACATTGCAATTGGTTTGTCTTATTGGTTCCTTAGGTTTTCTTATTCTTCAGATAAATATTAAATTTGAAGTTTTGAGGCTTAGGTGAAAAAATTATCAAGCATTTGCTGTGTATCAGGTAAAGAGGTAGGAATTGCAGATTATAGCTATCGTCACTGGGTTTTGTTAGCTTCTTAGGGCCATTTGTCTTGGGGGCTGTGTATCTTTATTTCATACATTTCATTTCTTCCAACTTAGTCCACTACCAGTTTTCTATAAACCCGTTCTCTATTTTAGTGCTCATTCTAACATTCTCAGCATATAGTTTTTGAACAATATTGTATACTTGTTTATTACTATTATTAAACACCTAAAATTATTTTAGTAAGTGCAATTTGGGGCTATCTACAAATTTTGTGAGGTTTTTATTTTGGGGGAGTAAGCTATAGTAAAGAATGAAAATCTTTATATCAAATGAAGGAATTATTTTGTTTTACCTAGTTTTAGTCTTAAGAGTGTTTCTTTTCTGGTTGGAAATGATGAGATGTCATTCCAAAAAAGGTGGAACCTAAGACCTAGTGATTGTGTTCTCGTCACTTTTTGAGAAGGCCTGATTGCATACTGCAACAGCCGAGTAAGGAGAAACGAGTTCCAGTTCTTACTCCGTCGGTGTTAGCTGTATGTTGTCTCTGGGCCTTATTAGGATCTGCTGTTATCATTATAGGTTGATTGGATCATTTATCGGTCAAGAAAAGAAGTTTTCCTAAAACCTTAACCTAGTTATTTGTGTCTGAATCTGGTTGACCAAGATTGTCAACACATTACCCTAGAAAGAGAAATATCTTCTATCAAATTTTTGTATGTTTATACAGAAAATTCAAGAATCCTTGAAAGTTAGAACTAGAACAAGACATTAGAGACAGTTCCAAGCACTCACTGGCTAGCTGTGTGACCTTGGAAATAGTCTCCTTTCCAGTCTGGAGATAGATTTGGATAATAAATAAGTTAAACTAATAGATGATTTGGGGAATAGAAAAGTATTATTAGGTCTGTTTTTTCCCCATCATTTAACATTTGAAGCAGTTAAAATAATTTTTAAACTATTTTTTTAACCTGTCGGAAATTGTAACGTTAATGAAAAAATAATAATAATAATAATAGAATCCCAAATCCTACCACTATAGGACAACTTTGATTTTTACCTCTTAGATGTTGTTTTGACCATACTTTATTTTGCCCGGCATTTATTTTGAATCATGCAAAATCTAAGCTAAAAATGTCAGAAAAGCTAGATTTGTAGTTTAGCTCTGGTTGTTAAACTCCAGTTGATACTGATTCTTGACTCTCATAGAGCATAGAATTCTCTTTGGAGTGGAAGTCAGTCTAGGCTCTACCAGGGGAGAGTAGTCAACCCTAGCTCCTTGAGCATGGGCCAATTAGATGATTCTGATTTAGTTCCCTCAACTAGTATGTCCATCTCTTGTATTGGGGCTCTTCAGGACAAATTGATATTCTGAATGCTTTCCAACTAAAATATTCTCATACCTTGGCATATATATGAAAATTTTTTGTTTATTTTTTTCCCATACTGAAACATGCTAAAAAATCTTTTCTTCTTTTACCAGTTGTGGACATCGGATACCCAAGGAGATGAAGCTGAAGCAGGAGAAGGAGGGGAAAATTAACCGGCCTTCCAACTTTTGTCTGCCTCATTCTAAAATTTACACAGTAGACCATTTTGTCATCCATGCTGTCCCACAAATAGTTTTTTGTTTACGATTTATG